AAAAGAAAATTCAAGGTCAAAATAAGCTGATGCATTAATAGCTCTCAGCAGTATGTATTAGTATATGAAGTTTGATAAATATATCTTGAATTGTTTATTCAAAACTGATCTAGACATTAATTTTAGAAAAGTGAGGTCAAGGTCACAGGAAATGTCAAGGTAAAAAAGAGAGAAGCATTGTAAAGCTTACATTAGTATGTATCATCATGTGAAGTTTCATTACACAAGTTGAATGGTTTCTTTAAAATAAAGCTAAACACTAATTTAAAGAAAAGTTAAGTGAAGGTCAAAGGAAAAGTCAAGGTCAAAAAATATTGCTGCAGTTGGATAGTTTACATCAGTATGCATCAACATATTAACTTTGATAAAAATATCTGGAAAGTTTCTTTGAGCCCGGTGGAAAGACAGATTGAAGGGTGGAGGACGGACATGACAAAAACTATACATGGCTTGACATAAAAACTTGAATCTACATTATATGAGGGCAAGTCAGATTTGAGGTCAACATTCATTTTAGGAGTTTCAACCATTAAGACGTAAAGAGATATTAACTTGATCCTTCCCCTCATCCCTTCCCAGACCCCTGTTTGTTCATGTATGCAAACTAAAATGTACTACTTGTTTTTACATTTTAAAAAAAATGTTAAAATATACAAATAGGTTAATGTGGTCCATCTCTTTGAATGATTTTCATTCCTCATTCTAGGAGGATAGGTTGATGAATAAATTGTCAAGCAATCTTATCACTGATTTTATTTAATTTAATGCAGACATATTGTGAACATTTCCAGTTCATTAGGAGTGGGGATGACCTCCAGGGGTTCATAACCTTTATATATAACATAATAACACAAAAAACAAAATTATGTATAGTCAAATGGAAAAAGTTTCCTACTATTTAGGAGTCACATGATCATTTGTCGTTACAGGGACAGGGAGTGAATTAAGAGATACCCCCCCCCCCCCGGAATATGCAGGACTATAATATACATGTATATAATAACAAATAAAAAAGACTTTGGATGCCCCCCACCCTAGAAAACAGACCCCACCATAACCTCTCTTTTTTTGCTTCTCAGGAAATTCTTGTCTGGAAATCCCCCCTCCCTCCCAGAAAAAAAATTCTGTATCTTGTAACTGAATGTAACGTCAATAACGGGCGATAACTCTTCAGAATGTGAAATTCATCTATTGCAAGCATCAGATGACCTTTGATCCTTTAAACTTTAACCTAACCAGTTGCATTTCAGACTATTGTACCAAATCTATACCAAAACTTGTACTTACTGATTGTCAAAGATCCCATCAATTCATAAAATATAATCCAATAAAACACAAAATAATTCCTACTGACAAACATGCAATGATGTGTACACCAAACTAGTACTGCACGTGCAGTGCAATCTAAAAATGATAACGGTAAAACTAGTACTTAAAGTTGGGTACGTGACGCAAGCCCAATGTGATGCAGGTGTTCAGATACATGTACAAAAACAAATTTAAAATTATCATTTACAAAAGATGTTTTATCTTAACTTTGCCATCTATGCTTATTTCCAAAAACATGCAAAAAGTGTGTGTTTGTGTGTGTGTTGATGGGACAGGGGTGGGGGGTTGACTATATTGATTGGGTATATGCATAGACATAAATCGAAATGGCAGCTTTCTAGGAGTTTCCGCCTAATCAAATATAAAAGTTTGCACATTTTGAAAAAATCATCAAAAACGCTTATAAAACGCTCAAAAATTTATATCCCCCCTTTATCAAACCTAATTTACATCATTAATTAAATTCAGTTGATTAATTTCAGACTGGTAATGAATAAAGAATATGAAATACCTATAAGATCAAGGCCCAGAGGTCACATGGCCACCTGAGCATATCATGCTCAATTTCATGAATACTTGTGTTATGTAAATTATTGAATTATATTGACTTTTTCCTTGGTAAAGCCCAATTTGAAGGATTGTGCATTTAGAGGCAAACACCTTAGTGCGGGTATTACTGTCTCATGACAGCATCTAGTTGTTTATTACATGTACTTATTTATGCATTCTGTGGTGTTGTCAAGGATATCAGAGGATATTCTGAGGCTGTGTAATTGTGAATACAGACCTTTGTTCTCAGACATATAATTCCCAGTATGCCTGGATAGAAGACACAATTGTCAATGTCAAGTAGAAGATCTGCTCCATGCTGTCCCAGAATATGTGCAGGTAAACTCTGAATGCTGAAATAATTTGGAATGGAGTCATCTTCGTGTTCCTCACAAGAGGTGCTGACCTGTGAAATATTTTTTATATCAACTTATAAGTCATTACCTTTACAATATATTGCTTTTGATAGAAAGTGTTAATAATCCCATGCTGAAAAAAGTACATCTACAGTAATCCAACACTGGAGAGTATGCTTATTAGATTTTTATAGACATATAGCTGAAAATTTTCATAAGATAGAATTCTGATAGAAAATGTTTGGATCAACTTGTTGTATGTAAGCTCTACTGGGTATTTTTTCTCATTTTCTCCCCCATGTTTAGCAACAATGTGAATAACGGATATCTGGATAATTCTGTCAAAATGACAGGCATCACAATTTGATTTAGTACATGTAGTTAGAAATTGGCCTTTAATCAGGACATTGTATACCTCATTGGACATCCTTAACAAGGTAATTAATTGCGGGCCAGGATACTCCTCAAAGCGAAGGTCTGGGGCACTAACCACCTCTTGCTTTCCTATTTTCATCTGTGTGATCTTTGATTTTCCAAGTCTGAAAATTGTTACAAATAAAAACTGACTTTGACAATAGAAATATAATAATTATAGAAAATCTATCTACAGTGGCTGAGCTTTGTCATCATGTGAAGAACAGAAGGTGAAAACAAGTAACTTGTACCTTTAACAATCACTGATGAAAGCAGTTTCTAATACTTAAAACTTACTGTGGGAACAGAAAGAAAATACGCAGGAAATCCATGACAAGCTGTGTGTACGTGATATCTGGGACAGGACCATCCCCTCGTGCCACCATGAATCTACCCAGACTGGTCAAGTAATCCTGAACTTTCAAATGCAACACATTCAACAATCTGCAAAATAAATTTTTAAAGTCAGTAATCAATGGTGTGAAACAATACCAAACATGGTGCTTGACATACACTTGTAATACATACACAAATATGTTATGTCAATTTTTTTTCAAAATAGAAAAATGTTGCTCTGTTGCTAGTTGCCCGTGACCTTAATCAATGTAAATTTAAGTCTGTAGTTGAAACAAAGAAGAAGGTACAGTTTGAGCTTTATTGTGTCCTTAAAATTTAATGTTCTCAAAAGTTTATGAAATTGGCTTTAACAATAGTTGAGTAGATGAATATGATAAAGCATGAAAGAATATGGCATAAAGGAGGACCTTTCTTGAAGTATGACATCAGTAATTTGGTGCATTTCTAAGTTCAATGCAGAAAAGCATCATTATGACTCATTTCTGTGCGAATTTTCCTTTAGAAAATAGTGTCTGCCACCGTCGCCCACTTTAATTTTTGGATATATTATATGTAAACTGCTATGAAAAATCACATATCTCAAAATCTTTCCGGGCGACGGTGGCAGAGTATGTTTTCTTAAAGAAAATTCCACTGAAAATTGATGTCTTCTGCAACCTTTTAAGAAAATACGGGAAAATGCACAAGTTAATGACGTCACAATCAGCATTAAGGATGTCATATGAGAAAAACGACTTGCATATTCTTACTGCAACCTGGGATTCCTATGATTAAGAAAGAATGAATTTTGATTTCGCATATCACTTTCATATTTTCGAAAAATATCGGGCTTAATTTGTATTGAAAATGTACCTTCTTCTTAATGAGCTTAAAACACTTTAAACTTACCGTTTCTCTTCATCGCCCATGTTAGTTTGTTTTTCAAACATTGACAAATCCTCCCACAATTTCTGACGATTTTCACTTATGTATTGTAAATATTCCACTACATTTTGTCGCGGCAGATGTCTCTTCAAATTGTCATGTGGAATACATAATTTGAAATGATCTGTCAAAAAGTTTTCTAGTGTTGACAAACATGCTGGCACCCGTGTTATTCCTGATGAATTTTGTTGAGTGCAACTTGATTTTTTGGCAAGCTCCTCAAGCCGACGAAGAGAAATGTCGTATTCGCTGTAGTGGATTCCTAATTTATTTAAATCTACCTGGGTCCACTTTGAAACATCTCTATACACTTCATTAACATCATTACTTTCCTTTAAATTCTGTGCAGAAGTATCTAAAAATGTCAAACTACAACTCTCTTCAGATGCTGCCATCATTTTCCGCCAAATTTCGCAGTAATTTAGACGCTTTTAAAATCTCACTTAGTAAAAATAATACTCCCCATACTCAAACATCTTTCTGATCTAAATTATATTCGAGAGTCCTCAGTTAGTTCTCATTAAAAGTATGATCTGTCCGAGAACTTCCGATGGGTTATTCCTGTATTTCGACGAAGCTAAAGGGTATGATTTAGGAAGACCTGAATTTAAAAGGCTTAGGTAAGGAAATGTTGGTATGAAAAGCAGAACATTTAAAAAAAAAAAAACAGAATTCAAAAGAAATGTCTACCATGGTCTACATCATAAACGAAAATTGTTTGTTTGATTTGTTTTTGCAGACATTTGCCACTGCCACGAATAAACATGAATATATACAAATAAACAATAAATGCAACAGAAAATGGTAAAATCACCTTTAAAGAACGCAAATTGAGTCGCTAAAAAGTTTTAAAACATGGATTTCAATCGGTATCATTACAGTTTAACAGACAATTCATTTTGAAAAAGCCAAGAAAAAAAAATGGTCGCCATTTTCATAAGACAGTCGGTAAATCTAGTGCCCAGTGAGCCGATTCCCATTACTGTCCCATAATTTGAATTTTTATGAATATCACGTTGCAAATTGTACAGGTTGGCTTTTTACACAACCTACAAGTCAAGGTTAATGTTTTCCTGTTCTTTAATTTGTATTTCAACAGGTTACCATTAATAATTGGGATCAATATTGCACAAAATATCTAGATTTTTCTTTTTGTTATGAATATCATTAATTCACATCAAAATGCATATGGATTAAAGGAATAGCTTTTGGCAGGACGTATATACTACATATTTAGTAAATAAGTCCCTGCTTTTGGTTAACAAGTTTTTCTGTATGCACATTGTTTAGATGATCCCTCGGAAGTTCATTAACTTCTTGGGATCAATCGTACAGTATAAACAATAACTGTAGGGTTGCAGAAAAACTTGCATGCCAAAAATCTTTTTTTTTAAAATGTATTTTGATGTTGAATAATGATAGTTATAGCCAATGTAAAAATTTCATTTTATACTTTTCAAATAAGTTGTATCAAAATTACCAAGATGTGATTGACACAGGCACATGCAGATCCAATCTAATTAAAATTAGATTTTAAATGCGCTTCCATACTCCCTACACTAACATCTAACAACATCCCAGAGTAGGTCACGTCAGAGGTCAAATTCGGAACAACTCTAGACTTATTCACTGCAACAAATAAATAATGATTTTGCAGGTGACAATTTGATTGGTTGATAGAATTTGACATCTGATATGACCCTCTATGAGATGTTGTTAGATGTTAGTGTAGGGAGAATGCTAGCGGATCTAACATGTAATTTTAATTAGATTGATGCAGATGGAGTTGACAGATACAACACCCCCTATATTTTCGTAGTTTGGAATTGATTTTCAAGGTCACAAGTGAACAATACTGTCTTCTATCTATGTTATATACTGGTAGTACTCAAGTCCATCTTAATTTTTTTTTAGCTTCAGCATGCTCAGTTCATGAGGATAGGAGAGGATAGTTAAGAAGCTTGTGGAAAAGATAGAGGAAAGTCTTAGAAGATAGGAGAGGATAGAAGAGAGAATAGAACTGTAGAAGATAGGAGAGGATAGTTAAAAAGCTATAGTCAGGATAGATGAGAGGAGACCCAGGAGCCTTCTAATGCTGTACATCTTGACTGAGAACTTAAAAATCACTGAATTTTTCTCGGCAGCATGAATGATTCGTCTCCAGTGAGTGATTATCTATGTGGCTTATGTCATGTTAGCTGTGAAGGCTATAAATGTGTGGGCTGTGACAAATGTGAAGAATGGTTTCACCAAAAGTGTGAGGAATTGTCCAATACTGATTTCTATTACTTGAAGAAATGCCCACTGCCTTACATTTGTACTAGGTGTTGTGAGAACAATTCTGGGGCCTTTGACTATGATAAGTCTCTTGGCAGGTTAGAATGTGCTCTTCAGTCAGGGTGTTTTGAGATGGGGGTGAAGATCGAGTCGATTTTTATGCGTAAACAACCTAAACGTTTACCTTCAAAACAACCTTTCAAATATGACCCTTCCATGAGTATAGACCATTCAGCCTCGGATCTGGTTGGCAAGTCAGATTTTGTGCCTGTTTCAGTCCAAGGAAACGGAAATTGTTTATTTAATGCCATATCAATCGCTATACAGGGCAATGAAAAACTGGCATCGGAGATCAGGGCCCGGACTTGCCTTGAGATGTTTTATCACAAAGACTTCTACATAAATAGTCACAAGAGGGATAGAATGGCATACATATCTCCTTCATACGAGGAAGCCATTGGGAGCTGTGCTCAGAATTTCAAGTTCTCATGTGCATGGACTATTCATGCTGCTGCTACTGTAATATCGAGAGGCATCAAGTCTTTATACCCACCAGTACATGGCCTCCTTGACCCATCAGTTTCGATTTTGAACTGTGAATTCCTACCACGTGCTCTACAGGCCAAGTACACCATAAATATTCTATGGTGCAGCATGTTAAAAGATGACGATGGTAACTGGGTGACCAATCATTTTGTTCCCCTTTTGCCCCCTGCTCCAGAGAATGTAATTGATGTTGATCAATTACTACATATTCCATCTTCTGAGGATCTTGCATCGCAAGATAACTCATTATCAATTAATCCTTCCAGAACTTCAGGTTTAGACCACCCTTATAGTAAATCCTCAGACGATGTTCCATCGCACAATGCAGATGAAAAGCGTGACCAAAAGCAGCCACTGGTGTCCTCAACTAAAGCTTCCCGTTCAACCCATCATTATGGGAAAGCGAGAGCACAATTCTCGAAACCTACAAGTGAGACTGATGAGCTCTCAGCCGCGAACAGTGCTGATCAAAGTGGTGAACAAAACGAGTCCAGTGAAATTACTCCTGTCAGAATTGAAGCAGTTGGTCAAGTGGACAAGTCGTTTTTTGATTTTGAATGTTTACTAGAAATTTTCAAATCTTTCCCTGCATCGGAAGCACTTCCGTCAATTCCACCAGGAATAAAAAACAATGTCTATTTTATTGTTAAAAATGCTGCAAATATAGTAAGGGACAAAAGGTGTTTCTTCCCTGATGACTGTGGGACTTGGAGTAAAGGGAATACACCAAAAACTTACTTAATTCAACGAGAAACGGGGGAATACAGAACCATTGTTGTACGAAATAGACTGTTTCATATCCGGTCAAAATGTAAAGGCAAATATGTGTTCACTTTAATGGAACCGCAACCAGATCCTTCCAGAATTACGACACTAAATCGCTATTACACGGCCCTTAAATTGGACCCTAGTTACAGACGACGAATTACATGGATGAATTCGTCGAGTAGTAGTATTTTTGTCGTGGAGTATTTGGGCTTGTTCCCTGGGGTGGCCCCGCATGGAAATTCCAAGCGTAAAAAAGGATATGTGCGAGCTCCCTATGATGACAGCCATGTCATGGATGAAATGACAGACTTCTTAGAAGAAATTTAAAAACCATTTTGAATTCTGATGACAACTGTGAATTGAATGTGACTTTATGATCCTTGTAGGCTAAGACAGGTTCATCATAAGAAACACTATGCAGAAAAGATAATACATGTTGAGATCAGTCAGAAATTTGTTGAACATAGTTGTATATGTCTGAGCATGTTAAGAGGTGGCAATTGTCACTTTTTATCAATGTTTTACTGCATTAAATCTGTTATTTGTATCTTTTTATTTATCTTTACTAGAATTCAATGCCATTGCAGGGGCTGACAAATACATTTTTAAGGCACTTGCCCAAGGGCAAGTACATGGTCAAAATTCACTTGCCCTACCTGAATTTTTGCCTGCCCTACCATTAACTTATACTGTATTAATAAATATATATATAAACTAGTGCTAATTGTAACGGGGACCGTTACAGATGTTCCCCAAACGCTCCCCAAATTCCTTTTTGTGCCTAATTCCTGTAAGACATTTTTAAAATGTGATCGGTATCGAAGGATTTCATCAAAGAATTATAAAAACTATAATGATATCAACTATATGTCATTTAACGCATTGTATGCCCATGCACCTGCAAGATGATCACGGTATGTCTAAATCATTAACATATTTATATATCGTGAGCAGGCGCGGATCCAGGATTTGGAGTTAGGGGGGGCGCCAAAACTAGGCAAGGGGTCTGGGGGCCGCCTTGAGGCCCCCAGTGGGTCCAGGGCGGCCCAGGGGGCGAAGCCCCCGGAAGCTCCTGGATTCTAGAGATTTTGAAGGGTTAAAATGAGGTCTACCAAAGCTCTGGTGGGGGCCCAGGGGGCGAAGCCCCCGGAAGCTCCTGGATTCTAGAGATTTTGAAGGGTAAAAATGAGTTCTACCAAGTAGACATATTTGATTTACGCTAACTTTGACAATTTTAGGGGGGGCGCGCGCCGGGTGCGCCCCCCCTTAAATCCGCCACTGGTGAGAATCAATCAAAAAAATCTTTAAAATATACATGTTACTGTTTTTCAAAAATACTTGTCATTTTTCGTATTTCGCGCGTGCACATGCATGCATGCATGTTTGTGTATTTAATTTTGATAGTACCATAATGTAGGAATCCATTATACCTATTCATATTCTA